CTGCAATAGAAAGTCAGCATCATTGTAGAGAAGCCTTCAGCATCGGGAGAAAGGGAAAGGGAAAAGTGTCCCAAGTGGAAAACCTAATTCAGTGGAGGAGGCACCATCTTGTGAAAATCCAAATAATTTAAAAGAAAAAGCCTAAGCCAAAGGGTTCCCGGTCCTCAAAAGCAACTTCATAGGTGAAAGTGTTTCTCTAGGGTTAGCGCATAGACGCTGGTTCAAGGGTTGAGCTACCTCTTGAGCTGGAAGCAGAACTTTGTAGTGCTGTGGGTCTGTCTGTACTACTGTCTGTGTGTACTAGCTCTGAAGACAAAGATGCAAGATGGAGGGGTCATGAGAATGGCTGAGGCCAGGCACTATATGTGTCCATGCCCACAAAGATTCCTCAGTCCTGTTCTAGGTAAATATAATAGTGTTTTACCATTGTCTTGTTTTCAAAACTGCAGGAAACTTGGGGTTTTTACCATGACTTCTGTACTCTCTCCTCCCTACCGAGCTCCTTCAAATATTTCTCCTTCCCACTGATGGGATGTATCTGCTAATCTGTATCAGGAATCCCAGGTAAGACCAAAGCCACTTCTGTCCCACTCAGAGGACACAGCAGCTGTGCTTTCCACAAACTTCGCCCTTTCCCAAGCACTTTGCACTTTTGCCTTTTCTAAGGGAAATGCCCACGCTGCCCCCTCCGGCTGCCCAGACTGTGGTACAGCACCCAGACTGCAGCCAGGGCCTTCATCAGCCCCCACACCTGCACTCCTTCCTTCCAGCTGACATGGAGGTGATCAGGAGGCCCTCAGCCAAATAGTGGTACAGTCAAGGGCATCGGGAATGCAGGACAAGAGTGGGAGCCTTGGCGCTCCTGTTCAGCCACCTGTGACCAGTGTCTTCGCTGGAAATGCTGAAGAACCAGGAAACCATGCTCAGAGCAGCAGACACTTCCATGGGTGTAACGTGCTCTACTAAACCTAATCAGCAGGCTGCACAGTTGGCATCAGTGAGTCTTGGGAGGGGGTCATGTTTGCCACACACTTGAGCTCTCTCACAACTGAGTCCACAGGCAGCTCTGGCCCAGGGCTAGGCTGCAAGGCTGATGTCTGAGGGAGATCACAGATGCTTGCTTTGGTTTTACCATTTTCTAATTGTCCAGGGAGGGCTCATCATCAGATACTGAGCATCTCTGCAGGCAGAGGAGGATGACAGCATGTTCCTGTACTCACACAACCCCAGAGGGGAGGGGGGAAACAGTAGTGGATAAATAAGTATGAAGTCAAGGTCTCTAGGAACAGGGATTTATAGAAACCTAGAACTCAATTCATTTCACATTGAGTGTGTTCCTCAATAGAGGACATTTGATCAACAGTGTTGGTGGAATGGTTTTTCAAGTTAAAAAAAAAGGCTCTTAAGAAAAATAATGGTATCACTACTAAAGAAAGTGTGTATGAGAGGTGAATCAGCAAAAGAAAGAAAATGAGACCCAGAAAATAGAAAATGTGTTAACAAGTAAAAATTTAAAAATCTCTATCCTTTAACACACTGAAATGTTCATAAGAGTTGATTTGCTTCAATACATAAAAAATAAATACATAGGCCTGCTTCTCACTTGACTTCATGGAGAATTTAAAAGCAAGAGAACTTTGGCAGATGTGCCCCCTTTCTCCCCTCCCCGATAGCTCCCTTCCCCTCTCTTTCCCTCTCCCTCTCCTGCTCCTTAGTTCTTTGAAATGCCATTTAGATAAGCTACTGCTTTAGCTTTCTGATAAAAGCCATGCCTCTGTGGACAACGTGGACCTGCATACCCATGTTCTGAGCCTGCCTGTTATTTCTGTCTCCTCCTTTAGCCGTGTGCGGCACTGCATCTGAACACAATTTGAGCAGGCATGTCCAATCACACAAGAGCGACCCACTTCATCCTCAGGGGCTTCTCAGATGCCCCCGGCTGAGATTGCTGGTCATCCCATTTTTCTTGCCTGTTTACACGTTTGGCCTCCCGGGGAACAGCTCCATCATCACAGCTGTGATGACACACAGCAGGCTCCACTCCCCCATGTACTCCTTCCTCAAGAATCTCTCTTTCCTGGACATGTGCTACACCTCGGCCACTATCCCCCAGGCGGTGGTGATCTCCTTCACAGGGTCAGGGCTCATCTCCCATCTCGAGGTGTAGCCCAGCTGTACATATTTATCACACTCTCTGCTAGCGAATGCTTTCTGCTCACTGCCATGGCTTATGGCCGTTGCCTGGCCATCCTCAGACCACTGCTCTACGGAACCATCATGAGCCAGAAATGTTGCTCTGAGCTGGTGCTCACTGCCTGGGTGAGTGGGGCCACCTACTCGGCCTTCCACACTTTCAACACCTTCTCCCTCCCCTACTGTTGAATGTTGTTGAACACTTCTTCTGTGACATCCCTCCTGTCATGAGACTGTCCTGTGCCGATTACCACCTCAATGAGAAAGTGGGCTTCGCTGTCAGCAGCTGTATTGTCATGAGCTCCTTCGCGCTCACTGTCCTCTCCTATGTCGGCATCGTGTCCACGGTCCTTCGCATCCCCTCGGTGGATGGCAGGTGGAAGGCCTTTTCTACCTGCTCCTCTCACCTGACCACGGTCATCTTGTTTTATGGAACTGGAAGCTTCATGTACCTGAGGCCTGCCTCTCGGTACTCCCCGACCCAGGGTCGCCTGGCGTCTGTTTTCTACTCCGTCCTCACACCTTCTTTGAATCCACTTGTCTATTGTCTGAGGAGCAAAGGTATGAAGTTTGTTCTACAGAAACTTTATTGTGGAAGAAAGTATTGAGTCCTACAAGACTGCAGTGTCTGGCTCATGTTTTCTGTTTTTTTTTTTTTTTTTTTTTTTAACTGTACTCATTACAGGAGACATCCATCTCAGGTCTTTGTCATCAGCCTGGTGTAAAGGCCACTAATTTGAATTTTCATTTTTTTTTCTTTTTTCAAGACAGGGTTTCTCTGTGTCTCTTTGGCTGTCCTGGACTTGCTTTGTAGACCTTGAATTCTTGAACTCACAGAGATCCACTTGCCTCTCCCTCCCGAGTGCTGGGATCACAGGTGTATGCCACTGCCTCTGGCAAATTTTCAATTTTTTTTTAACTTACTTTTCCTGGATATTCCATAAGAAATACATATTATCATTCTAGCTGTTCCTTCCCCTTTAATGTCAAATTGTTGTACTCTTCCAGTCATTTGGACCATCCTCTGATTTTGCTCCATGCTGATGAATTTTAAGCATTCCCCAAATCCTTTACTTGTATCTAAATAGCCATCTTCACCCCCACACCCCCAACCCCATGCCCTAAACGTCTCACTGTGCTCTTAGTTAACATCTCTTCTTTGTCTGGGATTTCTTTCCGACCTTCCAGGCAGTCCAAGCACCAGCCCTGCTAGGGTAATAATAGTTCAGGCCAAAGGGTGCTTATTCATGTGCGATCTTATAAATTATCAGCAAGCAACTATGTGGCTTTGACTTGGCTTGTTTCTTCTTGCTCTTAGGAATACAGTGAAGACTCCAAGACACTGAGCCTTGCCTGGGACACAGGGGCCAGGCAAGGGTCACATTAACAAGTCATAAAGGTACTGTTTTGATCTAGTTAAACCAGCATGGTGCAATCATCCGAATGCTTTTAGGGACTATATAAATGATGTAAACAAACAAAACTGCACACACTCCGGGAATGCAGAGGGCGATGATAGAGCTCACCCTAGGTAGCTTAGATATAAACAAGTACGTTTAATGAAGTAAGCTTGCAGTAGAACATCAACAGACAGGGACTCTACTGTTTGGCAAGCTTCTGAAAGGCGACTTCGTGTGAGCACACATAAATGTTGGGTAGAAAGGTTCTGCAGACAACAAGAAGCAAAGAACCCTGCCCACCAAGGAGAAAAAGCAGTTAATTGTGAAGTCATTGATAGATGTGGCGATTTGGGGATTGGAAGCAATGGCCACACACCTAATACCGTATCACCCATTAAACATCCTGGGTCATGAATGAATGAAAGAGCACAAGCTTTCAGCATCTGTGCTTAGCTGCTGACTAGAGCCAGGGGTGCCTTCTCTCCCTACCGTAGGCTACTTATGGTTATAGAAAAAAGAAATCATGCTATAGGTGTGTAAGGGTTGAACACAGAAATAGAAGAAAAGATGGTGGTTGCCAGGGGAGGAGTCAGAGGACAGTTGCCTAAAGGATGAGTTTTGGAGCTGGGTTTCCCAGCATACAGGACAATGGCTAAGACAGGAGAGCTTTAAGATAGGCATCTTATCACAGTGAAAAAATGAAAGTTGTTTGATCTGGTGGGGAAGGCCTATAATCCCCACAGCTCTGCAGGCTGAGGCAGGAGGATTGCAAGTTCAGCCTCTGCCTGGGCAACTTAGCCAGGTCCTGCCTTCAAATAAAAAGGGAAGACTGCTCAGCGGTGGAGCAGCTTCCTGGCAGGCAGACACTCTGAGTTCAACCCTGGTGTTGTAGAACTAATAAATAAAATCATAAAGACCTCAGATTACTTACGGACAGAGTAGTGGTCCTGTCTGTCTCCTTGCACTGGTCAGATTATATTACTCTCTCTGTGTGTCTCTGACTCCTCCAACCCCTAGTCTCTCTCTCTCTCTCTCTCTCTCTCTCTCTCTCTCTCTGTGTGTGTGTGTGTGTGTGTGTGTGATTCTGTGTGTTTTATAGGTTTGTTTTGTTTTGGTCCCTTAAATACAAACTGTCTTTAGGAAGTGACCAGCCACGCTGAGGCCCACTCTTCATTCTTTTTCTTCCTGGGTGGCCCAAGGAACAGCAGCCCTTTGCTAGCAGCACACAAGGGTGGCTCTAGACCCAGGTGCTGAGTTGGGGTCTGAGGACATTGATGGAGGCTTAATCAGAACTGGAAGGAGTGGAGTGGACAGAAGTGGGGGTGGGGGAGGGGAATATGTGTGTGTTGGGGGTGAGAACGGCCAGGGAGGCTGTGGAACCTGGGCGCTGTTGCCTAGAGACAGAAAGGACTCTGTGGCCTGAACACAAGGGGAACGCCATTGCCTGGAGACTGTAGAAGGCAAGCTTTCTCCTGGCAAGGGAAGGTCAGATAGCCTGACTGCTCAGAACAGGAGCAAGCTATGGCAGGACACACGGGGCAGAGGGTGATTCATGATGAGGTTCATCAGCACCAGATCTTGCAGGAACTAATCCTCAAAGAGCTGCGAACACAGAAGCTGTACACGAAGTATCATGTGAATCCCCTGAGCAAGGGTAAGCAGGCCCAGAGGGTTTGGAGGTGTGGGAGAACAAGCATCCTCTGTCTCTAGCCATCTCTTTAGAGTAAACACTTTGGGCTTTGAGGGTATTTCTCCCCACGTCACCCCAGACACGTAGATGCATTAATATGTGTCCAGAATTGATGATTTGGGGGAGGGAGGGGATAGTTGGCTTCTTAAATAATTGTGCAGAGTTTTTATGCCTGGTTTTTGTTAGCAATGCTTGCTTTTGTCCAGAAAGAATTTGCTAATATACTGGTGACGGCAAAGAGAGTGGCACAAAGGCCTATTTTAGGGGTTTGGGTGTGGCTAGGACGAAAACAGCTAATAAGGTCTGAGACAAAGAGCACTGGTTCCTATCACCTTGCTCATCTCTATCGCTCTTCACCAGGCGTCTCCCCTTGAGCATCCTCCTTTTGATGTTTCTGGCTTCACCAGGCTGTTCTCACACAGTGGACCCTTTCTCCTTCATTCAGGACTCACATACACCTCCTGGGGCCACTCACACACGCCCATGCCATCACCCCTATGCACACAGCTTGCTCTCAGGTTCTCCCTCACATGTTATCCCATGTGTGGGTGCTGCCAGGCACCACACACAGAGGGAAGGCTCAGAGAGCAGAGAGAACATTTTTTTCTGGCTCACAGCCTGTCTGCAGGGCTTCCCATCAATATCAGGAATTGAGGTCCTTTTATCAGTGGCCTTCTGTGTGTTCATCCCTGTCTGGGCCTGGGGAATTGGCCTTCAGGCGTCCTTGCTTCTCTGCCAATCAGCACTGGCCCAAAGAATGTTTTTCCATGCTGCAAACCTGAAGCCAATCTCCACATGGGACACCTGTATCTCTGTGTCCTCACTGACTGTTAGCTGTGCTTCGTTTTGGTCTTTTCACATCAAGTAGGCACTTTCTGCTATGGTACTAGAGTGACATGCTTGCTGCACAGTTCCTGGCATATGCCAGACTCCTTAGTGAGTGCTAAACAAGGACCTGGTCAAGGGTGAGACTTAGAACAGGCTGTCACCTGCTAATATGAATTGTGATGCTTGTTTTTCTCTAGTTCACCCAATCACCAGGAAGCCCATGTCTTGGCATGATAACTTGGAGGAGCCTGCAGATGGTAAGTACTGGGCTTGAGAACACCAAGATTCAGGCCCAGAGGAGCAGGCACGCTGTGGACACCTCTCAGGGTTCTTCCCACCTTGGGGCAAGTATGGGGTCCTCTGAAACGGGATTTATCCAAGGTCATAGGAGACTGAGTTGTTTAGCCACAATGCCAGGTTATTAAGCATACAACAAATAAAGCCAATGATAATGTTCCCAATGTACTAACCATCCATCATCCAATACCTGAAGTCATATGAACAGGTTTCAAATTTCAGTCCCACCACCTACTGAGCAAGTGACTTTGGGTAGTGCTTTGTCGCTGTGTAAAACACCAGGAGCAAAAGCAATTTGGGTTTATATCATCTTACATTTCCAGCTCTCGTCCCCAGTCGGGGCAGGAACCCAAGCAGGAGCTTGAAGCAGAAGTCCTGGGAGAAGGCTGCCTGCTGGCTTGGATTCTGGCTCACTTGCTCACGAGCTTGTGCTCAGCTAGCTTTCCTATACAGCCCAGGACCCCCACGGACATGCCCGCTGCCCATCTGATCGAGGCAATTCCTCCGTCCAGGCTTTCCTCTCAGATGGATCCTAGGCTGTGTCAAATTGACACTTAAAGCTGACTAGGACAACTAGTTAGTCCTCATTTTTTTTTTTTTTTTTTTTAAATCTTTCTGAAACAATTTCTATGGTTGTCATGGGGTCTAGGAAAAATACCACAAATGCTTAGGATGGGATGTGGTATTATGTGGTGCTCAGTAAATGTTAGCCATTCTTTTTATAATTACCCTGTGAGAGTTCATAGAATCGGGCTAGGAGGAGAGCCTCTTTATGAAGGAGAAGGAAGTAGGCTTGTACATACCCAGAAAGGAGTTAGGGAATGAAATGAGTGAGCCTACATCACATACTGGTGCCTTAATCAGGCTGTGGCATTGTGGGAGGAGTTCTCCGAGACTCCAGGCAGAGGAGCTTTCCAGGGGGAAGCCTGTGCAAGAACATTCATAGTTTGTGAAAGGCACAGAAAGTAGAGGCATCAGCATTGTTTGAGAACTCTGTGTAGTAGGCTCTTGTCCTTGCTGCCCACAATGGGATTTCCATCTATCTTGTCCCGAAAGGGCTAAATTAATAGAACTAACTCTACGTTGTTTTCAGACTCCATCCAAGGTTAGCTTGTCCCTGGAGTACCTTGGTTCCCACTCTTAAGATCTAAGGAAAAAAACCACAGAATGTGCTCAGCAGCTTGCAGCTAGACATAGCGACTGAGGCAGACCGATAAAGACGGGGTCAGTTAAGAAAACATAAGTTGTTTCCAGGGTCACAGTGTTCCTCTTGGGAAGCTGTTCCTCTTTGTGGTTTGGCCAGGTACTGTCAACCAACTAGGTCAAAGTGCATTTTATTCCTTTACCCTTTGTCCAATCATGTAACACCTACGCTTGGAGGTCCCTGCTAGTAATTGGTTTTTCCCTTTAAAAACCCTGTCTCCCCACACCTCGGGGTCTCTTTCCCAACCTGTCAGAAAGGATTGAGACCCAGGCTTGAGCTTGTAATGAAAGATTCTCCTGTGTTTGCATTGGACTCGTGTTCCTGGTGGTCTCTTGGGGGTCTCGTGACCAAGGCTTAACAGTCCCAGGGTTCTTCTCTGCCCCACATGCAGAGTCCCCCTTGTCTCACTAGTAGAATGACATTTTTGGTTACTAAGCTGCTTTGCGACTCCTTTTCTTTGTCTTGAAATGGAGGTATTGCAGTACCTGCTCCTTTCTCTAAAGTATGGGTCACTCTTTGGGAGGTTTATGTATATGCCGGATTACTGTGTGCTTTATTCTCTATCCTACTCACAAGTCACAGGATAATGGGGCTCAGTTGGTCTTGCCCAAGGTTCTGCCCCCAGGACCCAAAATCCAGCTTGACAAAATAGTTGAAAGATGAGCAGAGAACCAGATTCCTACATATTGGGGCCTGGGCCAGCCTGTGAGGCCATTGCTTCTTCTCATAACAGGGGAACACATTTTGGTCCAAGACTCTGACTTAAACAAAAACCTAATTAAACATTTTTTTGAAATTATAATACAATTGCATCATTTCCTCGTTTGCCTTTCCTCCCTCTACTGTCTCCCATGTGTCCCCTCGTTGTTTATTTTTCTCAAATCCTTAAGCTTTTCCTTAATTGTCGCTACACACACACACACCCTGCTCAGTTTGTGTACTGTTACTTGTATTATATAAGTTCAGGGCTGCTTGCTTGATATTGGATAACCAATTGGCATGCTCTTCCCTGGGGTAGACTATGTCTCCTGCTCTCAGCATGCCTTATTTGCCTGTATTTCTTTGTCTAGGGATGAGGTTTCATGAACTTCACCCTTCCATGTGGGCATGTCTATTGGTGTTGCCATTTTTCAGCTCTTGTTTAGATAGCCGTGTTGGTGAGACTTCACGGGTGTAGTTTCTCTGGCATTTCTAGGACACATAAACTCATAGCAAACTTCCAATTTTTCTGGCTCCTACAATCTTTCCACCACCACCCCCCCGACTCCCCATCCAACCACTTCTTCAATGATCTCAGGGGAGCTTTAGGTGCAGGAATTGTGTTGTAGATGTATCGACTGGGAGTGACCATTACACACTTTCTTGTTCTCTGCCGCTTGAGCAGTTGTGTTTTTCTGTAATGGTCTCCCTTGGTTGCAAAGAAGAAATTACTTTGACGAGGGGTAATGACTATGCTTATCTGTGGGTATTTACAATGCAGTTAGGGCTTATGCTGCATTAGTAAGGTGGTGGTTTGTAGGATCTCCTCCACGGGTCAAGACTTCACCATCCCTGGGCAGTTGGCCAGGTGTCCAGTAACAGGCATGATTTTCCTCTTGTTGAGCAAGCCTGAAGACCAAATAGAAAGCTGTTGGTTACCACCAAGGTGTGAATGGGACTACTGCATCCTCAGGTTTATCACGCCATACTGGCTGTTGTTCTGGCTTCTGATTCCTTTTTAACTGTGTCTCATCTTCCAGTCAAGTTCTTGAATGTCATTCACCATGCTGCACATGGTCCAAGGATGAAATATTCAGAGACACAGACTGAAGCCCAAGAAATTGGATGGAATCCCCGTCCCTTGGTGAGCATGGCATCTTCACATAGTGGTACCAGTGAGCATAGCAGCAATGCCAGTGGTGGCCAAGAGGACAGGCTGGGGAGGCAATTTCACCTGGATTTGAATTCTGGGTTACATTACTAAACCCTGGTCTGCTCCCTCCCTGGCAGACTTCTCTCTGATCCTGTTTTCTCCTTTTCAGATCAATCCAGACCGCCAGGACAAGAGGCTGAACCACTTCAAGGTCTACCAGGACATCACTCTGTACAAGGCTAAACTGTGGAGGCTGGGGGAGGAGAATTACATGAAGTAGCTTTCTCTTGGTGTAGAGTAAGACTACACAAGGAATTCCTATGGTGTATGTTGTCCAGAAAAATAAATGTTGTGTTTGTTAAATATTACATAAGACATATTTCACAGATCATGTGAGTCAGGAAGGGTCTGACAGAAAAATGATTCAGGAGGCCTTGCAGCATCATATAGGCAGGGGGAAAAGGAGGGCCCAAAGAGCAGAAAGTGAGGTAAAGAAACAACCTAATTGGCTACAACCCACGTCCATCTTATTTGTAGGGGATTGAAGGGTTGACCAGTGGTGATGGGCTTGAAGGTAAGATACTTATTGTGAGAGGAGGTCTGAAGCAAAACAAAACAAAAGTGGACAAACAACAAAATGTTAGACAATCTGCCACACACCTTTAATCCCATCACTATCTATAGAGACAGACAGAGATAGAGAGGCAGAGAGTGTTGCACATTAACGTATGTTGAAGGTCATTACTTTGTCCTAGTTTCATTTCTGTTGTCACAATAAATAAACTGACAAAACGCTGCATAGTGGAGGAAGGGTTCACTTGGATTACAGTCCCGCCAGTTCAGGGAAGTCAAGGCAGGAACTCAAGCTGCTAGTCACATCTCATCCTCAGTCAGGAGCAAAGAGGCATGTTGCTGTAAGTGTTACAGCTCTTCTTCAGCAGGGGAAGGTTTGGTTTCCTCAATGCAAGTGTAACAGCCCTGCTCCAAGAGGTATCCTGGCATTCAGAATCTAAAGAGTCACACCACAAAACAAACCTCACACAAGAGATCTAATGGGAGGGAAAACCCCAGGAGGTGGCTACTTCTGCTTGGGAAGAGGCAGCAGGGAACTGAGCAGAAGGTGGGTTTATACAGGGTTTCTTGGAGGTGGGGGTTGGGGGGAGCTTTTCAGGGTGGCCTGAGATTAGAGGGATTCTGTGGCCTGATCTTGAAGCTCAGGGATTGGTGTTTTTTTGTTTTTTTTTTTTTTTTTTTTTTCCTCTTGGCCCTGGTTTCAGACTTGGACTCAGGGTGTTTTTCCTTGGCTCTTTTGTCTTACGCATGCATCTATGCTGCCTGCTTGCTGCTCAGTTTGGTTGTGAAATGGTGCTGCCCCCAACCTTAACAATCAATACAGTCCCCACAGACATGCCAACAGACCAACCTGATGCAGACAATTCCTCATTCAGACTCTTTTCAGGCGGTTCTAGGTTGTGTCAAGTTGACAGCCAAAGTAGCTGGCTCACTGCACACAGAGAACCGCCAGCAACTGGTGAATGGAACTTTGCAAAGCAAATAGAGGAACTAACTGAAGAGCTTGCCCATGTAATGAAAGAAAATCTGTGTCATCTGTAGGCCTGACAGGGGGGTCAGTATCTAGCATATACCAGTAACTCAGAAGATTAAGAAAGAAAGCAAACAATCCAGTCAGCAAATAGCCAAGCAGAAACAGATAGTTCTCAAAAGAGGGAACAAAATAGCCAATAACACATGAAAACTGTTCAACCTCAGTAGCCACCAGTGAAATGCAAAACAGAACTACACAGGAATTCCATCTTGAATGATCACGTTCAAGAAACAAAAGCAAATGCCGGTGAGGGTGTGGAGAGAAGGGAACCTTTGCTCCCTGCTGGTGGAGTATACAGTCTGGCCATTATGGAAATCAAGATGGTGATTACTAAAAAAACACTACAAACACACTTACTGCCCAAAGGTCTCCTGCGGCATGTCTTACTATAGATAAACCTCACAGTCCAGTCCGTCATCAGAGGAATGGAGAGGAGAAATGCAGTTTATGTACACAATGGAGCCCTTTTCAGGCATAAAGTAAATGAAGTTACGTAGTTTTCAGGAAAAATGAGTAAAACTGGAAATAATCATACTGAGTTAAACCAGTCCCACAAAGACAAATAGTGTATGTTTTTCTCCTATGAAGGTCCTAGGTTTTACAGAGACATAAAATTATGTAAGAGTGAAATGTTCAGGAAAACAAGGGTGACCGCTGATGGGGGGAGAGGTGAATAAGGGCAGGGTAGGGAACATGGAGGGGTGTTTACTTAAAGCACAGTGTGTGCTTGAATAAAAATACCCTTGTGTAACACAATACCATGTGAATGGATGACTACAATGAAGCTTTCTTCTTCTATTCTGATTATTTTGAGATAGAGTCCTGTTGTGTAGCTGGGGCTGGCCTGGGACTTGTGTAGGCCTTGAACTCACAGAGATCCATCTGCCTCCATCCCCTGAAGATGGGCTAGAGGAAGTGATACCAGGGAACGAATGGGAATCAGAAAGTAATGACGGAGGTTCCACCTGAGGAGCTCTGCTGTACAGTAAGAAAGGGAGTTGAGGAAGGGTTGGCAAGACAGCTCACCTTGCAGATGAAGGTGTTTATCTATGTGCGCTTCCTGCTTCAGTCCAGGGCTGGGCCTGCAGGGCATCCCAGAACACTTGGTATCTCTCTACAGGACGTGGCCTTTAGCATTGAGCAGCCTGAGGCAGACAAATCAGGAGTTCAAGCTCAAAACAACAAAGCAAAGCAAGAAACAATAACAAAAAGAAAGGAGAAAAATTAAAGCGCTTTGCCCTAATAAGCTGTCTTCATTTTCATAGTGATGGTTAACATCAAACTTGACTAAGGAAGCAGTCATCAGTAAAAGGAGAAATCAGAGCCAAAAAGGAAACAAATGCACTCTAAAAGGAATTACCAAATGAATGGCTAGTACGATTGCAAGTTTATTATTTAATTTATGACAAGTTAAAAAGTTCCTATTGCGTTCAGGTTGAGGCTACACTGACCTACTAAATGTAACCTAATGATAAGGCAGAAACTTTGTACTGCAGTTATCATTTGATCGAAGTGTACATGTGTCGCATGAAGCACTGAATTAACATCACAAATGGTCTGAGCTGCATCTGAGTCCTGGATTCATGTTCCCGGTTGGTCCAGAATCACAGCAGGACCTATAGAGCTGGGTCACATCATGTCTTCTGGCTCAGGTTCTGCAGGCTCTGCTTGATTTCCTGTGAGATGTGCAGCCACGTTAATGCTGTTTGAGCAAAGAAAATGTTGTGGGAGAAGGGCTTCAGAGGAAATCAACCAACACAAGTAAACAAAGAGATTAATCATAACATTTTAAAAGCATCTTAGTGTTGCTTTTGTATTTATCTTTGGAAAACGTATATAAATATTTAGAATATGCAAATATATTAACAGTTGCTTCGTGAAACTGACACTTTGAAAATGTATCAAATTTATTCTCTAGAAAATAGGATTATAACTTACCAGAAAATGACAGGATGTGTGCACTTCTGTTTGAAGCTTTATTTTAAAACACTACTCTCATCCTTCACCTGAAATGTTGTGCCTTACGACACTATTCTTTATAGAAAAGCTTCTAGGTTTTTCAGGGGCTGAATTTCTTGATGGAATTAAAACAGATGCTATACTATACCCCAACTAACTGTCAGGGTTCACTGCGGCAAGTAAAGTGGAAGAGCTTAGAAAGGAGCCCCCAAGTACACACTTAAGTTGAAAAAAAAAAAGTCTCCAGACATTGAATAAGAACATTCTAACATACAGTTTTATTTTAAAATTCCAAGTACTCCTTTGAGTATCTGAATGAATCACAAGTTGTTTGCTGTGGAAGCAGCAACATTTTTATTTTGTTATTTTCTAAGACGGAAATACAAAATTAACAAAAGAAGATACCCAACCCAGCAGTAAGTCAACATGAAAACACTGAGTATCGATAACCCCTGTGAAACCACACGCAGGCGGTAGAGTGAGGTGTGGCCACACTCAGGAGACTTCCTGAGCAGAAAGAGCTGATAAAGCCTCCGGCATCTGCACCATGTCTGAACTGCTTGTGGCAATTCGAAAGTCAACAGCTTGATAAAAGGTTCATCGTCATCTACCCAGTGAAGTGAAAACAATTAGAAAAGGTTGAAGGTCATCCACATGTCCATCACAAAACAGGGAATAAATGTTTGTTTTTTTTGTTTTTGTTTTTTGTTTTTGAAACATCAGTTTAAAAGAATAGCTACTGGAGCGTGTGAAGATGCAGAGAATCTTCACAGGAAAACAAGCCATAAAAGGTGAGTGTCATCGGTGTCCAGCGATGGGACAGTATAGGATGGGAATTGACTCAGACTGGTGCTGGACTCCATGGGCAGATGTGTTCCATGAGAAAGGGCTCAAGGGACCTCTGCGCAGTTTTGAATTTTGCAGCTCCTGATAAGAGCTGCAGGGGGAGACGTCTGTAGAACTGGCTGGAAGATAAGGCTTGCTGAGTGCCCTTCAGCTTGAGAACTGGGCTTCGGCCACCCCAACTTGAAAATGAACTGGCAGTGAATCCTCAAGGCGGCTTCCTTCCCTGTGGCTATAAAAATTCTGTGGTGGGGCATGAGAACTTTTCACAGAGAATTTGTGGGTTTTCAGTTTTTTGGTTTTTGTTTTGTTTTGAAAATTCACTTTGAAATGAGAAGGCGGCGGCTCCACAGTCAGCTGCCAGCCATGTTGTTTTACCAAAACCTTAGAATAAAGCAGAAAACAACTAAGACACCGGCGAAGGTGCGCACACCCTCCTTACTTGTGGCTTTTCCTTCCACACTCATAGCCCCCTTCAGACAGCTGCCAACTGGAAAACAAAACAAAACAAAACAAACCCAAAAAACAAAAACAAAAAAAACAACAAAAAATTCCAGAAATATTCAACTCGCCCTCTTACAGTGCTGTCTGTTGAGTAGCATGTCCAGACTACTTACAGTCCTGATAACTGCTTTGGCCAGTGTATCCATACTGTGTATGCTACCCGTCCATCTGTCACATAGGAGCTGCCCAAGTACTGTGAGCTTTATTTCATTCAATAATGCCTCAAAGTGTTAAAGTTGTGACACTGAAATTTAGATATGTTAACGACAAGCTGTAAAGGGCTTACCAAGTTAAACTACGGAAGTTCTCCACTTACTAAGGGGGAAATAGTCTGCTGAATTTGTCACAGTGAGAACAAATTTGTTCGTGAAACTGAGAGGAAGAACAAGGAAACTTAGTGATAGCTTTGCTGAGGCTCCTCAGGCACCCCCAGTTCAAGCCACAGGATAGAAGTGTTGAGTTAAGGTGGAAAAGAAACATAACAACAGAGTTTGGAATTCTCAGTGGTTTCAGGTATCCACTGGGCATCCTGAAACTATAACCTCTGTGATGAGGGTTACTGTATACCTTTCCTGTTTGTACAAAGGTCCAAGCAAACCAAAGCATCTTTACTAGTTCGGACAGCACAACAAGCCACGTACTTCCTCAGGCTGCCCTTGACCTCGTTGTTCCGAAGACTGTAAATGAGGGGGTTCAGCATGGGGGTGACAATAGTATAAAAGGCCGATACGACCTTATCGTGGGTAGCTGACCTGGACGATGTGGGCCTCATGTAGATGAAAATGGCAGCTCCGTAGAAGAGGCCCACTACGGCCAAGTGCGAGGAGCAGGTGGCAAAGGCCTTCTTGCGGGCCTCTGTGGACCGCATGCGCAGGACAGCAGCCAAGATGAGACCGTACGACACCAGGATGAGGCAGAGGGGCACCAGAAGCATCAACACACAGCAGACGTACATGAAAATCTCAAAGGCAGCTGTGTTACCACAAGCCAGGCGCAACAGCACAGGGGCCTCACAGAAGAAGTGGTCGATCTCATTCCGGCGGCAGAACCGGAAGCTCAGGGTGGCAGCAGCCTGCATGGCTCCGTCAGCTGCTCCCAGGAGCCAAGACGCCAAGGTCAGTCTCAAGCACAAACGCCAGCTCATGAGAACTGGATAGCGCAGTGGGTGGCAGATGGCCACATAGCGGTCATAGGACATGGCCGCCAGGAGGAAGCACTCGCCACCACCCAGTGTCAGAAGGAAAAAGATCTGGAAGCCACAGCCAGCAACGGAGATGGACTTCTTGCCCATTAAATAGGCAGCTGCCATTTGCGGCACTATGGTGAAGACCTGCATCAGGTCCATGAGGGAGAGCTGGCTCAGGAGAGCGTACATGGGTGCGTGAAGCCGGCGGTCCTGGTGGATGAGGAGAAGCAGGAGGCCATTGCCTGCCACGGAGTTGAGGGCCACGGCCAGAACCAGCACGAAGAGGACCAGGTGGGCTCTGGTGTGGTTAAAGAGTCCTAGGAGAATGAACCCCGCGGTGGCGTTCCCCTTGTCCATGATGCACAGCAGAGGCGACACTGCAAATGGAGGGACAGAAGAGAGTCTTGTCATCAGTGACGGTGTGTGAACTACACAAGCCGAGAAGGTTGCCAGTGGGAGAGGGTGAAACCCACTTCAAATCCCTCATCCGTGTTTGCAAAATGGTTAGTGGTCACCAAACTGACATCAGCCTGTTCTCATTTCCAAGGCTGACCCGACAAACATCTCACCAGAACAGTGAATTAATTGGCCTAGTGAAGCAAAATTCTCTGTAAGCGTCAAGTGACTTTTGACTTTCCGTTACCTGATATCCACATAAATGGTTGAGAACGATTTGTGTATTTGTCATTTATATTTTCATGCACATTATATTTTGCACAATTGAGTCTTAGGTTCTTAATTAAATTAAGTAGGTATTTGTTAATACAATTTAGGGGCTTGTTAATGTAGATAACACATTTATAACATATCAGAATTTTTGTTTATTTATTGGGACAAGGTCTCATGTATCTGGGGCTGGCCTCGATTTTGCTATATAGTAGAAAATGACCTAGAAACTTCTGAGCTTACTGGCTCCTCCTCCTGAGGGCTGAGGTTACAGGCATATATCACCATATCTGGTTTGTGTGATGCTGATGGTTGAACACAGGGCTTTGTGTATGGCAGGTAAAAACTATCTAATAAACCACAGCCCTGGCTCATCAATGTTTTTTTAGAACACCAAGTTCACATGACTCCCTCTAACACTGAATAATAAAGATCTTGCCAAACAAAAGGGTGTTTTCTCTTAGATCTAGAGACAGAAAAGACACAATCTGTGGCTAGAGGATAGGCTTTCCCTGGGATGGGAGTTCACTAGGTTCTGTTTATAAAAGTTCACACTTCAAGTAGCAATGGCCTTCTTTCCACAGCTGCAATGCTAAATGCACACTTTCAGGAACTGTTCCAAAGTATCTTTCCATCTCAGACAGCCTCCCCCCTTCACAATCACACAAACTCACCATTTAGTGGAGAACTCAGAGACACTAGGCCTAACTCCAGAGAAAGACAGAGTGAGAAATTAAAAAAAAAAAAAAGATTCCTGCTTCCGAGACTTTATATCTTTACTTCCGTTTCAATCTATGACTTGATGGTGCCATGACTGTTTGGACGTCCACAGCCACAAAGATGTGGATACTAATTCGTTTTCAAGGATGTTGTCTAGTTCAAGTGGCTAGAGGCAGTCTGAATCTTCCGGGCTTACCCCGTGTCTCTCCTCAGGTAAAATCATCACCATGGCTGGAACAATCTCGCCACGTCTTGCTCAGCTCCTGTTCAAGTCCCTGAGTGTTTTAGTTGGCTGTTTGAAAGTTAAATTTCTAAAAACTATTTTAACCAAAAAAAATCTGAGCACAAGGGTCTTTCCTGAGACTGCTATTCCAACCAAGGACTATGCGTGGAGATAACCTAAGACCCCTGCACAGATGTAGCCCATGGCAGTTCAGTATCCAAGTGGGTTCCATTGCAATAGGAACAGGGACTGTCTCTGACATGAACTGATTGGCCTGATCTTTAATTACCTCCCCCTGAGGGGGAAGCAGCATTACCAGAAGAAGACAACGCAGCCACTCCTGATGAGACCTAATTGACTAGGACCAGAAGGAAGGAAAAGAAGTCTTCTCCTATCAGTGGACTTGGGGAGGAGCATGCATGCAGAAGGTGGAGGAAGGGAGGGATTGGAACGGGAGGAGGGAGGGAACGGGGGGGGTATACAAAGTGAATAAAGTGTAATTAATAAAGAAAAAATAAATTAAAAAAAGAAAAAAACTATTTTATATTTTGAAAGTTCCTTTGAAAGTATGTTCTCTCTGCTCAGCTCATGGTTCGCCCACATTTCCTTAGCTCTATCGAATATTTCTCACTCCAGAGGCTACATGGGACCATGGCTACTGCTGTCAGTATATCATGTTGTGGAAGACTTAGAACCTCCCTGACTCATTTTTTCCTACCATTCCAATCTCTCATTATTGAAGATTGGAGTTTGTGTCATTTGGCCACCGGAGGATAGAACTACATTTCTTTTTGTTCTTTTGGAATTGTCTTTTGTTTCCTTTATTTTATTTATTTTTTTAATATAATTTTTATTTATTGCAATTTGACTGAAGAACTACATTTCTTTTTTTTTTTCTTTTAGAGTTACATTTTTTAACTACGTTCTGCACCCACAGTAACTGTTTTATGTACACAGTCACTATGGTGTCACTAGAATCCACCTTCTAAACTCTCTTACTGCCTCCAGCTGAGAACTGAGCACTCACTAACCCAGACGCCTCATTCTTTTTGCCCACAGCTGCTGGCAGCCACAATCCTCTCTTCCTCACTTGCGACACTGGGAAGCTTGGGCATTCACCCAGCATCTGAGTATTTGTGACTTACCTGTTTGTGGCCAGTGCCAAAGGCCTTTTGCTCCCTTTGCGGATTGCATGTGCACTAATTTAGTGAGATGCTTGACAAAAAGTGTTGGAGTTTGTATCTTGATAAATAAGATACCACACAAAACAGCAATGGTGAGCCTTTGTTTAAAACATGCAAATTCACACGTATATACCTTCATGTGTTTTCAGAAAATCAGCTCAACGGCTACCCCCACCTCAACATTTAAAAACAACAACAACACATTTTCTGTTTTGTTCTATTTATGCAATGCCGAGGACTAAATATAGGGTCTCACACATGCTTGTCAAGCTCTCTACCACTGATTTATATACCAAGTCCTAGAAAATATATATTGTGAAATTTCTACTTATATTTAGGTAATCGTAAAGTTTGAAATGATTTTCTCAGCTTTTTGTGGAGATAGGTGATTATGTGTACATTTTAAAGGTGAAATAAATGATTAAAAGAGACCAGTCATTATGAATCTAATTGTGTGGTCAACTTATTTTTGTTAAAATTATTACCTCTATCTATACAGATGAGACAAGTTACTGCTAATTAAGAAGTTTATAAATCTTCACAGAGTAGACTATTGGGTAAATTTATAAAAACCTGACCATGGAAGTGACTCATGGTTCAAACTGGTTCTGAAGAATTAGCTCATTTGGGTAACATGCTAAATGCATTATTGGGGAATGAGATCTCCAGCTTGACCAGTGTGGGAATGGGGAAATGTTTCACCCTGAAAAAAAAAAAAAACAAAACAAGGGCTTCCTTTTACTCTCTTTGCTTGTGTCCATTGATGTAGACATCCTCTTGTCACATTTTCAGTTTTTTCCCCCTTAGAATGGCATGAACAAGGTGACATCTTTACTTAAAATTGCACTCATATCTTTCACATTTGGAATCACAGGCAGACATAGATACTTTCTTTTTCTTCTTACAAAACCCTTTTGAGAAACCACAAACAAGTCAGAATATATGATTTCCTTTCCACATTTCTTCCCCAAATGCATTGTTAATATGTAATTTTAAAAGTCTAAATTTCAGGATACTGAAATGAAAATCAATTTGCATGTGAAAATTAAGGTACTAACAGAGAAGTTGTTAATATTGATACAGTTATGAGATTTTTAAAAAAAGATTAACCAAGTGTCAGCACCCACTTGCACACATTTTAATTCATCAGGTACCAAGACATTCAACAAGGGAGACCTTCTTTGTAAAATGTCCAGAGTGGTAGGACTAGATTTTCTGTAGCCAAGGATTCCTTGTTCTTCCAGCCTCCAGCTCCCTAGTTCTGGGATTTGGATTGTATTTTCTAGAGTTAAATTTCACAAACAAATAATCAGATATGAAGAGGTTGGCATGACCTACCTATGAGAGTCAAAACTGGTGCCCAGCAGGTAGAGCTGCACCTTCAATGATGCATCTGGATGTCTGTTCTAGCCTGTTCCTCCTCCTCCCTTATATCAGCGCCTGGGTGGAACTGTTATGAGGATGGGCTCACTGCCAGCCTGGTGCAAACACTGTCCTATTAATACCCCAGAGCTGCCTGGTGATAGTTCAGTTGCCAGAAGTGTTTGTTGTGCGGTGAAAGTTTTAAAATACTCAGGAGATAGTGAGCTTTCTACCTGTCTCATAAAGTCATGAATCATGGAGATGACAGACAATCACTCAACACACACACACACACACACACACACACACACACACACACACACACAAAAGTAAATAAATGTCTTTGGAAGGGGATTGTGATTTCAAGTGTATGAATCAGAAAGTCACGTGATTCTGGTGTCCAGTGATTCTGGCACTTTCCTGAAAGGCTTCAGCATATAGGAAGATTAAACTGTCTGCCATTCAGACCGGCACAACTGTCAAACAGCAACTGAAATTAAATGAAGCCTGTGGAGGGAGTTAGCTGTAGGTTTGTTGTTGTTGTTCTTGGACTCAATTTGAGACAATTAAGGTGTCATAGGCACCTGTAAGAGACTGTTTTATTTTGGTTTTATATTTACATGTTTGTGTCTGCATAGCAAAATATAACAACAACAACAGTGATAAAATCTCCAAGCTCTATTCACATTGATGACGCCTTACAGGTTGAAAAATATCATGAATGTATTTCATGATAATTGGCCACTTGATTTTAATGTTTTCTGACCCTGGGCACCCTGGGAGCTTGGATCCATGCTCTGCAACTTCTGAATTAGACAACTGCCATATAGAAACCCCAGATTCTACAGCTGGAAACAGAAAACTGGAAACAAAACAAAAGCTGTTTATCACGAATTACGTGTTAGGTAAACAGACCTAGTTAAAAAAAAAAAGTCAGATAATTTGGTGAACTGAGATTCCCATTTAATTTTATTTAAAGGAAAGTACAGATTTTTACATTATTTCTCATTTATTTACTTATTTAAAGAAACATTAGCTTCATTAGTCATGTATCTCAGGGTGGCTTAATAGCAAACCATTAAACTAGTGTATGCCAGGTTCATGGGACCCTCAGAGACCACCAGGAGATGACTCAATGCAATTGCAAGAGAGCTTTATTACGAGAGCAATCGAACTCGGGACCCAAGTCTCTCTGACGCAGC